CCGAACTCCTATGCGCAAGAGGACAAGGGGGCACGGATTCTCGCGGAAATGGCCGGATGTGCACGCCTCGGATTCTCCGCACACTCGCTCGCACGGCACATGGACACGGATGGCGCACGGGCCTCGGATGAACACGCGCACGGCACTCGCTCGTGGACTCGAACCGAACACTCGCACGGTACTTGAACACTTGATACGCACGATACTCGCGTACACATGAACTTAGGTCCGAGTAACGCACGACATCGAACATGAACTCGGAATAAAATCCAAACCATTACTAATCTCGTGATTAAATTAAATTAATCACTTAATTATGTTTAATTATCTAATTAAACATAATGCTAAATTACCAAAATTATTTCGAACGTAAACGATACGTCGAAATTTGTTCCGGTAATTTGACTGAAATAACTGAAATTAATTAACTCCGAAAAAATAAAATCGGAACTGAAATATTATTATACTGATAAAAGTCGGGATATTACAGAACATATACATCAGAACTGAAAATCAGGAAATCGAGCGCGAATATCAGCCTCCTGCTCCCAAGTGGCTCTGTGGCAATCCCACTAAATACGAACGAGGGGAACATAATGCTTACGGAGCCGACGAACCTGTCGGTCCAGCACAGCTATCGGTCGCTCCTCGTAAGATAAGTCTGGATGGATCTGAATATCCGTATGAGGAATGACATGATCGCGGTCGCACATGTACTTGCGTAACATGGATACATGAAAAAATTATGAACACTGGATAACTCGGGAGGTAAGGCTAATCGATACGCAACATCGCCCACTCGCTCGAGCACTTCGAACGGGCCAATGAACCGAGGGTGCAGCTTCCCTCTCTTCCCGAATCGGATAACTCCGCGAAATGGACTGACTCTGAGAAAAGTTCGCTCGCCAACCTCGAACTGAATATCTCGTCAATGATGATCGGCGGTTGATTTCATTCGACTCTGAGCTGTCTTAAGTCTCTGCTGGATCAACTCGACCTGTTCTGCTGTCTCCTCGATCAATTTCGGACCGAGTACTCGACATTCATCGACATCGTCCCAATAAAGAGGGGAACGACATTTACGACCGTAAAGTGCCTCGTAATAAGCCATCTGAATAGCAGAATGATAACTGTTGTTGTACGCAAACTCGGCGTATGGCAATAACGACTCCCACTTAGCACCCCTGTCAACAACCAAAGCTCGCAACATATTTTCCAACGTCTGAATAGTCCGCTCTGTTTGACCATCAGTCTCTAGATGGTAGGCTGAACTGAATGCTAGTCTCGTGCCCATCGCCTTGTGCAAACTCTGCCAGAATCTGCTAGTGAATCTAGGATCTTTGTCTGACACGATAGTAACGGGCACGCCGTGGAGTCGAACGATCCCACGAGTATAAATCTCAGCCAACTTGTCCAAAGACATATTCATCGATACTGGCAAGAAATGAGCAACCTTAGTTAATCTGTCGACCATGACCCAAATAGCGTCGTGATGTTCAGACGACCTAGGTAACACTGTGATAAAATCCATCGAAAGCTCCTCCCACTTCCACTTTGGAATTGGCGGTGGTCGTAGGAGGCCTATGGGACTCTGGTGTTCGGCTTTGACTTGCTGACAAGTTAAACATTTATTCACAAAGTCGGCAACGTCCCTCTTCAACCCTTGCCACCAAAACGACCTTTTCAGGTCATGATACATCTTCTTGCTTCCTGGATGGGCTAGGTATGGTGTGGTATGAGCCTCAGTCAAAATCTCCTTCCGCAACGCTTCAACTTTTGGCACCACAATTCTGTTGCAAAACTCCAAGGCCCCATCAGTGCCTCGGTGAAAACCTTCGACGCCTCCGGCTCGAACTTTGGCATCAATTGCACGAATAAATTCATCTGAAGCCTGTTCTCGCCGGATTCTCTCCCTCAGCGTCGGCTGAACCTGCATGGAACTGATACTCCCCGTACCGCTGTAGGAAGTGCATCCACCACCTGAATCTGCATCCGGGCCATCTCCTGAATCAACTGGCTCTGTTGAGTAACGACATAAGTCAAGTCACCCCTCACCTTACGGCTTAGGGCATCAGCAACAACATTCGCCTTCCCCAGATGGTATTGAATCGTTCAATCATAATCCTTTACGAGCTCTAACCAACGACGCTGTCTCATGTTGAGCTCCTTCTGAGTAAGAATATACTGTAGGCTCTTATGATCGGTGAAAATCTCACATTGACCGCCGTACAGATAATGTCGCCAAATCTTAAGGGCATGGACAACTGCAGCTAACTCCAAGTCGTGTGTCGGATAGTTCTGTTCGTGTGGTTTGAGTTGGCGTGAAGCATAAGCAACGACCTGGCCATCTTGCATAAGTACACATCCCAAACCTTGTCTTGAAGCATCACTGAAAATAGTGAAACTCCGAGAAGGATCGGGAATAGTCAACACCGGTGCGGAAGTTAGTCTCCTCTTGAGCTCCTAAAACCTCGATTCACAACGATCAGTCCACTCGAACTCTACAGACTTCCTCGTCAGCTGGCATAATGGACGGGCAATCTTGGAGAAGCCCTCGATGAATCTGCGGTAATAACCAGCCAAACCGAGAAAACTGCGAACCTCAGACGGACTCTTCGACGTCGACGAGTTCTGAACGGCTACAACTTTGGAAGGATCGACCTCAATACCTGCCTGAGTAATCACATGACCAACAAAAGCTACTCGTCGGAGCTAGAATTCGCATTTGGAGAATTTTGCATATAACTTTTCTCGTCTAAGGGTTTCAAGAACAACCCTCAGATGCTCCTCGTGTTCCTTCTGGCTCTTGGAGTAGATAAAAATATCATCAATAAAAACGATAAAAAACTGATCGAGATAGGGATGAAAGATACGGTTCATGAGGTCCATAAATACTGCTGGCGCGTTGCTGAGTCCGAATGGCATAACAACAAAATCATAATGACCGTAACGAGTACGGAAAGCGGTCTTAGGAATGTCTGACTCCTTGATTTTCAGCTGATGGTAGCCTGATCGCAAATCAATCTTGGAGAAAACACAAGCTCCCCTCAGCTGATCAAATAAATCGTCAAGCCTGGGAAGCGGGTACTTGTTCTTGATTGTCAACCGGTTAAGATCCCGGTAGTCGATACACATGCGCATGGATCCGTCATTCTTCTTAACAAAGAGAACGGGTGCTCCCCAAGGTGAAACGCTCGGCCGAATAAAACCGAGTCGTAATAACTCCTGAATTTGTGCCTTAAGCTCCTGCAATTCTTTTGGCACCATACGATAGGGTGCTTTAGAAACTGGACCGGCTCCTGGGATAAGGTCAATGGAGAACTCTACCTGCCGGTTAGGTGGTCCTCCTGGAAGCTCATCCGGAAACACGTCCACAAACTCACGAACAATGGGAACGTCATGAGGTGTACGTGCCTTCGGAGAATCATCAACAAGAATAACGAGATAACCCTGACAGTTGCCTCGTCGTAACATCTTTCTGGCTTTTGCCATAGAAATAACATGGGGCAATGAACGAGTCTTAGTGCTGAAGAAAGTAATCTGATCATCTCCTGGAAGATAAAGAGTAATCTCCCGGTCATCACATCAGATATCTGCATGAAAATGTGTTAGCCAATCCATGCCGAGTATGAGGTCAAAGTCCCTCATCTCAAGAACATAAGCGTCGGTAGACAATATTCGGCCACCGATAGAAAGACTGAGATCTGTGGCTTTGGCTGAAGTCACTATCTTTCGTCCTGAGGCTAAACTCACCTCGAGAGGATCGACAGCGGTAATGAGCTGAACTCCAATGGCATCGAGACACCGTCGTGATATAAAAGAATGGGTCGCTCCCGTATCAAATAAGGCGAAGACAAGAATATCATTAAGCATAAGCATCCCAGACATGGTACCTGGGTGTTTTTCCGCCTCGGCCTGATCGACCGCATAAACTCAGGCCTGCTGTCTGCCCCTCTGCTGCTGCTGGGGTGGCCTCTGAGCATGTTGACAGGGCTGCTGCTGCTGCTGCTGCTGTGGCTGCTGAGGCTGCGGTGGCTGCTGCAGAAGTCTCTTCAGACAACGGCTGACAAAATTCCCAGGCTCATGACAGTAATAACAAATATCCTGGCCGACATGACACTCTCCGCGATGAAGTCATCCACAAGTAGGGCACTGTGGAATCTGCTGATGTCTCTGTCGGGTTCGCCTGTCCATCGGGGCGCCTTTCCCTTTCCTCTTCTGGTTCTTCTGTGGTTGGGCAGCAGCTGGTGGCATCGGTGGGGCAGGGGCGACTGGCTGCAGACGATCATGGTTTGCCTCCCTCCGAATGCTGGCGTCCACCTCCTGGGCAATGGCAACTGTACGGGCGTAGGTCTGGACTCCGTGACCTACAATATTGTGACGGACTGCTGGGTAAAGCCCGTCAGTAAAACGCTGTGCTCGTTGTGCCTCAGTACGCACCAAATCTGGAACAAAGGCTCCGAGTCTGGTAAACTCTCTCTCGTACTCATCAACTGTTCGAGTACCTTGTTTGAGCGACAGAAACTGCCGCTCCATCTCAGCTCGGTAGTACGTGGGATAATACTTCTCACGGATCATCTCCTTGAATCTCTCCCAGGTACAACCCTCCTTTTCACTAGGACACATACTCCAGTAGGCATTCCACCAGAGTCGAGCATCACCGGTTAACTAAAGCAGTGCTCAAGTAACGCGATAGCGATCTGGACAGTCCATGACCTCAAAAATCAATTCAAGGCCCTGAACCCACTCATCAAAGATGCGCGGATCTCCCTGACCGGAGAACTTCTCAGGATGCTAGTCGCGAAACTGTGCGACTATCGTGGCCTGAGAAACAATAAGATGGTTGGGTTCTCTACGGGGCGACATCTGATCATTAAGAAGGTTCAACATGATTAAAATACAATGAAAATACTTTAACTGATCATTAAAGCACACAGATCTCTTGACGAGTTGCTAAACATGACTTGAAAAAATACTGACTGATTTCCTGACTACTGATCCGGAACATGATTTGAGCATCTTAACAAATTTTTAAAACTGAAACTTTCTGAGCATAGAACTAGTACTTGTTTATAATTTAAAAACATGAATCAGCACTTACCTGTAGTCGGCGAGGCGTGAGAGTGACGTGTTCAGGTTTTGCAAATTTCTGACTCGTAAAAATTTTTAGAGACGCAGAAACGTGCTCTGATACCAACTGTAACACCCCGCCTTGTCATGAAAATCAGAGTATGTTTTTCGCAAAATTTTTCTAAGTAAAACATTTTAATTTGCAAAATACTGATTCGGAGTGCTACCATAACACATAACTTAATCTGAAAAATCGTTAATTTAGTTTTTAAAAAAAACCAGTGGTTTAACTTTGATATAGGATATTATACTAGACCCGGTTTAATGGATAAAGTGGATGCATATTGTTAGATAAGCCCATTAAGCCATCTAAGCCCAACGATAGGGGTCAGGCCCAACTTGGGCCCAAAAGGTACACTCCTCCTATAAAAGGGGGGCCAAGGTACCTCATTCTCTCAACTCTCTATTCATTCCATACTACACACTTTCTCTCTCTTGGTCTGAGCACTGACTTAGGCATCGGAGGCCCGACGCCGGGGCCACCCCCGGCGTTGGGTTCTGCAGGTACGGAGGCCGGTTCGAGTTGAAGGAGCCCGGGTGAATCTTTTTCACTTCATTGGCGCCGTCTGTGGGGACCCGACAAAAAGTCAAGCGGAGTTCCGACTGAAAAAATGGAAAAACCTCCTTCTTCTCCACCGGCCACCGCCACCGTCGGCCGCCACCTCCGCTGACGGCCTTCACAAAACGTGCTCCGATCTGAAAATCGTTTGTGTCATTGGATAGATCTCTTCGAGGTGAACCTCTCCTTAAAATTTTAGGCGAAAATTCCTCCGGGAAGGCTATCAATTTTGCGGTCAAATTTTCCAGATCTAGTAAAATTTTGGTCAAAATCGGACATTCAAACGCATTTTCCCGACGATCCGAAGGGCTATGGAAAATCCAAGGGTACCACTGGAATCCTCTAGACGAGACAAATCTCCAGCTGCCGCTCTTCACCGGTCGCCGCCGCCTCCGCCGCCGGCCGCCGGTCAAAATCATCTGATTGGAAAGATCTTTACACCATCGCGAAGCTCTCGTCATGCTTGTTCTACTCTTAAAATATCATGCGAAAATTTTACCAGGAAGACTGTCGATTATTCAGTCAAAGTATTTTGGATCTAGAAAAAAATTGGTCAACCCTTGTTCATTCTCTTCGATTTTCCGGCGATACCCGGAGAACCGCTTCAAACTGACGACACCACCGAATTCTACTCGCTGGGGCGACCGCGCGGGTGGTCACTTGCGCCGGAGCCAGTAGCTTTTCTCCGACGACGTGTCCTCTCCGGCGGGTTGCAGCAGCTCACGCATCCCTCGGCCACTCTGTTACAGGCGATTCCGCTCCTACGGCCCAGCGAGGAGGCCCAGGTTTTCCAGCCCAGCGTCTGCGGCCAATTTTGGAGAGCAGCCCAAAACAAGCATCGGCCCAACTGCTTTGCATTCGGCCCAATTCGTGCAAGGCATAACGCAAGAAAGAGGTGGAGGCGGGCCGCATCCAGCCCGCGAGGCCTGCGTGTCTCCCAGCATCCAGCCCGCAGAGCCCGAATGTAGCCCGCGACCCGCCCGCACTGCAGCCCGCTTCCTCACATCCAAGCCCGCGGTCAGCCCTCCCTTGGCCCGCGCCCTCCAGCTATCTACTTAGCCCAATTGCGGGTTTTTCAGCGGCCCATATAGCGCCCAGCCGCGGCCCAATGCCCTGTTAGTGGCCCAAATCCTTTAATCTGCAGCCCAACTCCGTGTACCGCGGCCCAAAAGCCTATAAATGGCTCAGAATGATCCTAATTTGATCTAACAACCCTATTTTGCGCCCAAGATTGATTCCGG